AATGGCTGCAAGTTAACTCATGCATACAGATACAACATATACACTTATAGGGTCCTTTAGCAAAAATACAATCAAGAGTGTTAGTCAGGAAACGAGTATGCGGCCATATAATACATTCGTAAATTTATAAACTGTGCACACTCAAGCAAATGTCATCCATCACCCTATATTTTTCCCAGACTTTCATAATCACTCCCTATTCCATACTCCCAATTTATTGCTGTAACTATTCATATTAATTCCTTTCTCATCAATTCATATACTATTAACAGATCAACATGTTACAATACACGTATTATGACCATATAATTTAATGTATTATGATACATATTTTGTGAATACACCCGTTGATGTGTCACAATACTTGTATTATAATTACATCAATTAATTGGCTACAATTCACATATTGTAAACACACATCTCATAATTCTACCATCTCATCAAAATTCCACATTCCTTAGATTCAATTCTATTCAAATGTTTTCAGAATAATGCATATTACACACATGCTTTTCATACATATTGTTCATCATTTAAATTCAACAACCACATTATGACACATATAATCCAACTATCAATCAAGCAATTTTTCCAGAGATCGGATACCTCTGGGCTCAGCACAAATCGGATATTACAACCAATTATATCTCATATTATCTCAAGATAATCATTTACCATCAACTGAACCTCCTAAGTTCAGAGAAATATACATCATAAACCGATCATAACACCTAAAATTTTCATCTTAACATATTTTCATAACAAAAACAAACGCTACTGAGGTTTCAAAGGTAAAAATATTTCTACGCTCTAATGATGGAATTAAACTCTCCTTACCTCAATATGAATATCTAGAGAGAGTTTGATGAAGAGGATCGTTTAGAATGGAACTTCTCCCTAAACAACACGAGATAATCTTTAAAAATAGAATTTGGATAGAACGAACGGTAAATCTAGATTTAAACTCAAGAAAACTTACTTAGAGTTGCTTAGATTAAGGATTCAAACTTGGATTCGGCAATAATCACAGTTTGGAAGAGATTTTTAGAAGAAAAAAATAGTGGGAATCCAGAGAAAATGAGAGGATTCTAAACGGAGATTAAGTGAAATGAAATCCCTTAAAAGATAGTGGCACTGTGATCACAGTTTCACACCATGAATAGTCGTCAGTTACCCCGCCTCACGGATACCGCGTGGGCAGTCACGGGTCGCTCAGCAAAGGTAGTGGTCAGAGATCTAGTCAGGAGGAGAGTGTGTGGCCCGTGGTGCACCCATGTTCACTGTTGGTGTCACCACCACTCTCTCTTTCTCAAGGTATTTCTACCGTCCTCATCTTCTACACCTTCAGCGTATCGCTGAACCATTCACAGCATCATTACAACGACATTCAATATGCCCCATCACACACATATTCAACCACACACATTACTCATTCACAGCACACGGCACAAGTGCCTACATTCATTCACAGTACACGGCCCACTGACCCATATTCATCTACCGCACATAACACAGATGTCCATTCCATACACACAACATTTCAACATGCCATCTATACTCATTTCCTACTCTCTATCTCCGCCACATCACAACATTCAATGAAATAATTGGTAAATTAAACACAACGAGATAGGGTAGAGTCCCCCCTTACCTCGAATTGAAGACCCACACACGAATTTAGCTCTAGGAAGTGTTCCTCTTGCAAACTTAGTCCCAAATACATGGAGGAATCTCATAAGGATCAAGGAAGACCAAGAGAACAGAGAATGGGAGAGAGAGACCAAATCCCTAAATTAAAACTCACCTCGAAGCATCCCAACACGAATCTAACCTTCAATCTAGCTCATGAACAACTTTGGAGGCAATTTAATTGGTGGAAAAGGGTTTGGGGGTGAGAGAATCGAAGGGACCTTGAAGAGATAAAAGGGGAAAATGAGTTTCCCAAGCCCTAGCCCCTTTAAATCTTCTCTGGTCGCGACCCTCTTGTTACAGTGAGACTGCACCCAGAAATGCACCCTAAACTGTCACTTTGTCGCTACAGCGAGGAGGCGACAATTTCACGCCTTCCTCCCAAGGCTCTTGCTACAGCGAGGCATCTTTTGCTGCAGCGAGGACACTCTACACCAGACAGTTAGCCAAATTTTTTAGTCCAATCCCAATCATCCACACACTCATACAGCCCACACGATCATATTTATATTCTCATCACATCACACATACACACAGATATATATATATATATATATATATATACACATATGCATCAAATACACAACACATGAAAATACACATATACACTTATATTAACATATTAAAATATTATTACAAAGAAAATTTGAGGCGTTACAACTCTCCCCTCCTTTAAGGAATTTTGTCCCTGAAATTCAACCAAATACACACAAGTTATACAAATAATTCCAGATATAACTCTCTCATTCTACTCTCTGTTTCCTAAGTGGCATCTCCCTCATCACTAGAGTACCATATCACCTTCACCAATGAGATCTCCTTGTCCCTCAGCTGTTTAACACGGTGATCTGCTATCCTCACTGAAGATACATCATAAGACAAGTCTTCCCTTACTGTTTGGAGGCAAAGCTATCTGGTATACAGCAACATCAATCCTACTCAACACTTTGAATGGCCCAATGAACTTAGGAGATAGCTTCCAATATTTCAAAGCTCTCCTAACTCCGATCATAGGTGAGACCTTCAAAAACACATGGTCACTCACCTAGAACTCCAACTGTTTCCTCCTCTTATCATGGTAACTCTTTTGTCTGTCTTGTGCAACTTTCATTTTCTCTCTGATCATCTTGATCTATTCATTCTGCTTCTGGATCATGTTTGGGGCACACAAAGTAGTCTCTCCATTCTCATACCAACACAAAGGAGTCCTACATCTCCGTCTATACAGAGCCTCAAATGGTGTCATTCTAATACTTGCATGATAACTGTTATTGTAAGTGAACTCTACCAATGGCAAACATTCCTGCCAAGTCCCTTGCTGCTCAAGCACACAAGCCCTTAGTAAGTCCTCTAGGGACTGGATAGTTCTTTTTGTCTGACCATCTGTCTGTACGTGATATGTCGAACTAAGTTTCAACTTAGTGCCCAACGCCCTCTGCAGGCTCTCCCAAAACTTTGAGGTAAACCTCGGGTCTCTATCGGATAACACACTCATCGGCACTCCATGCAACTTGACAATCTCCCGCACATACAAGTCCACCAACCTCTCTAACTTATACTTCATGTTAATTAGGAGAAAGTGTGCAGCCTTAGTCAACCGATCCACTATCACCCAAATGGCATAGTGATTGTTCCTGGTCTTTGGTAACCCGGACACAAAGTCCATAGAAATATTGTCCTATTTCCACTCAGGGATCTCCAACGGTTGCAGTAACCCAAGTGGATGTTGGTGTTCTACCTTCGCCTTCTGGCAAGTTAGACATCTAGTCACATATTTAGCTACATCTCTTTTCATTCCATTTCACCAAAACCTCTTTCACATATTTTATGCGTTTCCTCCAGTATCATTTGCTTCAACCCATCCACTTGGGGAATGCACACTCAGTTCTGGAACTTGATCACCTCATTCTCATCACAGTGGAACTCCAAATTCTTTCCCTCATTCTTCTGTCTCATCATATCTTGTAAGAAAGCATCTCCCTGTTGTGTATCCCAAACATGCACCAAAAAGTCGTTGTGAATTGTTATTGCTCCAAGGTACAAACTCCTTGGCCTTACCTCCATGGCTAGATTTATGTCCCAAAATTCCTCAATCAACTCCATCTCTTTCACCATCATCGCTGCCACATGCAATGATTTCCGGCTCAAGGCATTGGCCACCACATTTGCCTTACTGGGATGGTAAGACAATGTGAAATCGTAGTCCTTGAGAAATTCCATCCATCTCCTCTGCTGCATGTTCAGTGTTCTCTGATCAAACAGATATTTCAAACTCTTGTGGTCACTGAACACCTCAAACCTTACTCCATACAAGTAGTGCCTCCACACCTTAAGAGCAAAAACCACCACCGCTAACTCCAAGTCATGAGTTAGATAGTTGACTTCAAGCGGGCGCAACTGCCTCGAGACATAGGCAACCACTCGTCCATCTTGCATCAAAACACACCAAAGTCCTTGCTCGGACGCATCACAATACACATCAAACTTCCTCTCCAGGTCGGGTAGAACTAACACGAGCACTGACGTCAACCTTATTTTCAACTCCAAGAAACTAGCTTTGCACCCCTTCGTCCACTTAAAGTCCCTACCTTTGCCGGTTAGCTTCGTTAAGGGAAAATCTATCTTAGAAAATCCTTCAATAAACTTCTTGTAATAACCTGCTAGTCCTAGAAAACTGCGAACCTCAGTGACATTTGTCGGTCTTGGCCACCCAGCCACTGCTTCCACCTTTGTAGTGTCCACCATGATCCTTTTCTTCAACACCACATGCCCCAAAAATTGAATCTCTGATAGCCAGAACTCACACTTGGAGAATTTTGCATACAGTTGTCTCTCCCTCAAAATCTGCAGAATGATTCTCAAGTGCTAGGCATGCTCTTCGTGAGTCTTCGAATAAATCAGGATTTCGTCGATGAATACTACCACAAATTTATCTAAAAACTCATGGAAGATCCTGTTCATGTAATCCATGAACATTGCAGGCACATTGGTCACCCCAAACAGCCATATCGCGTCCTGAATGCCGTCTTAGGTACATCCTCATTTTTCACCCTAATTTAATGGTATCCTGACCTTAAGTCAATCTTTGAGAATACCACAGCTCCTCTTAACTGGTCCATCAAGTCATCGATCATTGGAAGTGGGTACTTGTTCTTGATCGTCACCTTGTTCAACTGTCGGTAGTTCATACACATCCTCATGCTTCCATCCTTCTTTTTCACCAAGAGCACTGGTGCTCCCCACGGTGATACACTCAGCCTTACGAACTGCTTTTGCAACAAGTCTTCCACCTGTTTCTTAACCTCCGCCAACTACACAGGTGACATCCTATAAGGTGCCACAGAAATTGGGCTTGCTCTCGGGATGAGGTCAATGGCAAACTTTATCCCTCTCTCAGGTGGTAACTCAGAAACATCTTCAGGGAAAACTTCCAAGAAGTCCTTCACCACCGAGATATACTCCGGCTCTACCATGCTTTTAGCCTCCATTGAGAACATAATCATAAAGGTCTTGGCATTCACTGTGTTTTCCCATGCACCATGACTTAACAGCCTCGGGACTTCTATCATCGATGCACCAAAGATCAGTGTCTTCTCTCTGCAATCCAACAGCACATGGTTGGCAGCAAGTCAATCCATTCCCAAGAGTACGTCTAGTTGAAAAAGAGGCAAACAGATTAAGTCCACCTCGAATTCCTTACCATGCACCATTATAGAGCATCCCAAGCACACCCATGACGTCACAACCGGCTTACCCGTAGGTGTAGTCACCACAACATTACATGGCAAATCAATCACATGCAGACTCATACTTTTCACACAATCCACAAAAACAAAATAGTGCGTAGCACCCGACTCAAATAGCACATCTACCAATCTGCCCTTAATTACATATTTACCTCGGATCAGCTCCTCTGACTGCAAAGCCTCTGCTCCACTCATGGCAAAAACTCTACCCGAAATGCTCAGCTTTGGCCCCATACTTGACCCTGTGGTCCCTCGTGATTATGGTCTTTGTGTTGTGCTTAAACTGCCACTCCTCTTAGCGGCCCAACACAGATTAGCAATGTGCCCTAGTTTCCCATAGTTATTGCAGCTTATCTTTGGCTGTGGGCAGTCTCTCACCATGTGTGGCCCCCCACACCTAAAGCACTTGATCGGTCCTCTGAAAAAGCCTAATCATGAGCCACTCCCACTGCTCTTCTCCTGAGATGAACTCCCTATAGACTGTGAATTGCTTGAGCTAGAATATGGCCCTTTGGAGAATCTAGGGGGTCTTCTATCTTGCCTCATCGGATTGGCTTCCCTAGTATCCACTGTCTTGCCCCTCGAGTTGGCTTCAAAGATTCTACTCTTGATCACCAAAGTGGGTAGGTATGTCAGCTAGAACACACTGATTGTAGCTCGGATGTCTGGCCTCAGCCCGTGCTCAAACTGAGCACACAACTCCTCCTCACCATCCCCATGTTGGTTGTAACGCCCTGAATTTTGATAATATTATTATTATATATATGTATATATATTCACATGTATGTTGATTTATTTGATAATGAGGTTTATGTGTATTAAGTACATGGATGTGTGTATTTATGTGTATGCATGACTAGTTAGGCTGAAATGGGCTAAGTGCCTGAGTGTAGGGCATGTTACTGGGTTGTTCTCGCTGCAGCGAGAGGATTCTCGCTGTAGCGGGAGGGCCCTGGGAGGAAGGACCAAAACTGTCGCCTTCTCACTGTAGTGAGAGACGTCTCGCTGTAGCAACAGAGCGATAATTTGGGGTGTATTTCTGGGTGTAGTCTCGTTGTAGCAAGAGGGTATCGCTGTAGCGAGATTCTACAGAAACTAGAGTGCAGTTTCTTCTGAGATTTTTGTTGTAGCAAGAGGGTGTGTCACTGCAAGGAGGTCCCCTCGCTGCAGCGAGAATATCTCACTGTAGCGAGAGTGTCGCGACCTGAAAAGGATTCAAAGAGGGTTAGGGTTTGGGGAAAGTTATTTCTCCCTTTCCCTTAGATCCTTTCATGCCCAAAGCCCTATTCCACCGATTAATTGCCTCCAAAGCCGTTCGGGAGCGAGATTGGAGCTCAGATTTGTGTGGGGAACGCTTGGAGGTGAGTTTTAAACGGTTAGGATTTTCGTTTTCCTTCCCTTTCTCTATTTTTGGTGATTTCTGGGGTTCTCATGGAATTCTTCCATGTTTTTAGGCGAAAAGTCTTGTGGGGAGCATTTTCGTAGTTGAGTTCGAACGTGGGTCTTCAATCCAAGGTAAGGGGGGACTCTACCCTACTCTTTGTATGCGGTTTACCGTTATTTAGTTAAATATTGTGATGTAACTGACTAGAGGATAGGAAATTACTGTGAAATATAATGTGGTCCATGTGCCGTGATATATGAATATTATGTGTATGAGAGAATATGTGGTTGATGGGATTTTGCTATGGATTGCAGTGTGTGAATAAATGTGGGCCCCGAGGGCCGTGTAATATAGATGAATGTTGGCTATGTGCTGTGTAATATGAAATGAATGTGAGCCTAGTGCTGTGTATTTGAATGCAATGTGGGTTGTGTGCTGTGCGTAAGCATGATTATTGCATGCGTGAATGGGATATGTGTGAATGGGCGTGTTAGCGCCGTTGTAATGTGCTATGAATGGTTCAGCAATACACTAGGTGTGGGAGATGAGGATGGTAGAAATACCTTGGCAAAGAGGGAGTGGTGGTGACACCGACTGCGGAAGGGTGCACCATGGGCCGCACACTCTCTTCCTGACTAGACATTTGACCATTACCTTTGTTGAGCGACCCGTGACTGCCCACATGGTATCCGTGAGGCGGGGGTAACCGGCGACCATTTATAGTGTAAATCTGTGATCACAGTGCTGCAGTGAATGTGGCTGGCGTGCAAATGCATTGGGTTTATGAATTATACTTATGGATGTGAAATGCTGCTTGTGTTTGTGCTGGGTTAATGTATTGGAAATATTTTGAAGGTGAGACTCTACGTTTATTATGTGTTTTTGGGTAGTGTAGAGTACTCACCCTTACATTCATTTTTCAGGTAATCAAGACGATCAGCACCGGACTCAGTGAAAGGGGCAGATGGAACTGCTATGGGACTAGGATTTTAATCTGAAACTAATGTATTTGAATGGGTCCTGTAGTAGTGACTTGATAGAGATTGTAACCCCTTTCCTTATTTTAAAATATTTGATGAAACCAAGAGTTGAGAACCTTATTTGAAATGAAATTTGTTTTATTCCGAATTTGCGAAATTATGATTTATTGATATTAAACATAAGGTGTTACATTGGTAGTGAGGCCAGTACTTCATCAGCTCTTAGAACTTTGCTGCATATTCCCCCACTGTCATGCTTCCTTGCTTCAGCTCAAGGAATTCACAGGCCTTCTGCTTCCTCAGATCCCGGGGAAAGTAATTGCCTAAGAAGATTGCCTTAAAGGTCTCCCATCGAATGTAGCCACCTTCTTGTGGCAATGTCTGACCGGCAAACCTCCACCAGTCTTCCACCTTCCTATACAATAGGTAAGTGGCGTAGTTCACCTTGTGTTCCTCACGGTACCCCATTGCATTGAAAACCTTCTCTACATCCGTCAACCACCTTTGAGCTCCCTCAGGGTTGAATTCTCCCTCAAACTTTGGAAGATCGTGCCTAGTGAAGGCAGACAATCCTCGATATTCGACCGACTCCCCACCCTGGTTATGCACCAAGGTCTCCAGAATTTGAGCCATGCGCTCCATGAGGTCATTAATATCTCTAACTCCTCTACCTCTACTAGCCATGTTTACTCTAAGCTATAAAAATTCAGCAAACCACAATTCAAACCATCAGGTCAATGACAACATTTATAATTCAGGTAAGCAAAACAAATCAACACTCAGCTTGGAAGCTTCAGCCCGTTACCCTAGTCTAGTTTGGATGAATTGCTCTGATACCAAAATTGTAACACCTTAATTTAATTTCTAAGTAATAATTTCACAAAATGGGAGTAACAAAATTTTCATTTAAATAAAAAGGTCTTATCATAGAGTTTCATAAAACAGTTCAAAACAACAAAGGATTACAAATTTATATCAAAGACTACTATAGGACTAATCTAGTTACATCATAATTTCAAAATATAATCTAAGTCCTATAGCAGTTCATCCTTCCTTCATTGAGTCAGGTGCTTATCGTCTTGGTCACCTGAAAAATAAATGTAAGGGTGAGTACTCTACACTATCCAACACACATAAACATAAAGACTAATCTCAAATACTACACATTTACTAACATAGTTAAATCATGCATTCATAAGATAAGCATCTCAATCTTAATCTCAATCACAATCATCATTCATCATCTATTCAAATTCAAAACACAACAGGTGCACTCACTGTACCAACATTTCACACATGTGTGCTTACCGCACCGAGCCATGCTCACTGTGGCACTGTGATCACAATTTCACACCATGAATGGTCGCTGGTTACCCCTGCCTCACAGATACCGCGTGGGCAGTCACGAGTCGCTCAGTAAAGGTAGTGGTTGGAGGTCTAGTCAGGAGGAGAGTGTGTGGCTCGTGGTGCACCCATGTTCACTGTTGGTGTCACCACCACTCTTTCTTCCCCAAAGTATTTCTACCGTCCACTGCTCTTTTCTTGAGATGAACTTTCTCTAGACTTAGAATTACTTGAACCTGAATATAGTCCTTTTGAGAACCTAAGGGGTCTTCTATCATGTCTCACTGGACCACTCCCACTAGTGTCCAGGGTCTTGCCCCTCGAGTTGGCTTCAAAGAATCTGCTCTTGCTCACCAGAGTGGGCAAGTCAGTCAACTGGAACACACTAATTGCAGCTCGGATGTCTAGCCTCAGTCCATGCTCAAATTGAGCACATAAGTCTTCCTCTTCACCCCCATGCTGGTAGTGAGGCCAGTATTTCATCAACTCCTAAAACTTTACAGCATATTCCCTTACTATCATGTTCCCTTGCTTCAGTTCAAGAAATTGACGGGCCTTCTGCTTCTTCAGATCCCGGGGAAAGTAGTTCCCTAGGAAGATTGCCTTAAATGATTCCCACTATATATAGCCACCCCCTGTGGCAAGGTCTGACTTGCAAACCTCCACCAATCTTCCGCTTCTCCACACAGCAAGTATGTGGCATAAGTAACCTTGTGCTCCTCACGGCATCCCATTGCATTAAGGACCTTTTCTACTTCCGCCAACCACCTTTGAGCTCTCTTGAGGTTGAATCCTCCCTAAAAATTTAGAGGATCGTGCCTAGCGAAGACAGACAACCCTCGGTATTCAGTCGGCTCTCCGCCTTGGTTATGCACCAAGGTCTCCAGAATTTGAGCCATGCGCTCCATGAGGTCATTGGTGTCTGTTGCTCCTCTACCTCTACCAGTCATTCTAAGCTAAACTAACCATAATGCAACAAACCACATTCTAACATGTCAGATTAATAGCAACATTTATAATTCAAGTAAACAAAACAAATCAACACTCAACTTGTACGCTTCAGCCTACCACAGTTCGGTTTGGATTAAATGCACTGATACCAAAATTGTAACACCTTAATTTAATTTCAAAATAATAAATTTCGTAAAATGGGAATAATTAAATTTTCATTTAAATATAATTTTCCAATACAAAGCTTCGTCAAAGCTCTTCAAAATAATAAGGGATTACAAGTTTTAAAGAGAGGAATGGGAAATAAATTTCCCAAACCCTAACCCCTTCAAATACTCCTCTGGTCGTGACACTCTCGCTGCAGCGACGCCCCTTGTCGCTACAGCGAAAATCTCAGAGAAAATTGCATCCTGGTTTCTGCAGAATCTCGCTACAGCAAGACTACACCCAGAAATGCACTCCAAACTGTCACTCTCTCGCTACAGTAAAGGACCTCTCGCTACAGCGAGATGGCGACAATTTCATGCCTTCCTCCCAGGACCCTCTCGCTTCAGCGAGACATATCTCGCTACAGCAAGAACAACCTGCACCAGACACTTAGCCAAATTTTCAGTCCAATCCCAATCATCTACAATAATTCTAGTTCCACAACAACCAATACACATGCTCATACTCACATTCACACACTCATACAGGTTTATATCATCACATATACATATATTCTCATTACAACATATATATACATATATATCAAATACATAAACCTATAAAAATCCACATAACATTTATATTAATAATCAAATAATATTACAAAATTCAGGGCGTTACATGGAACAGGCCAACCATACCAATAAATATCTCTAAGTCTTAGGTGATAAAATTAGTAAGACAAGTGCTCAGTTATTCCTGTTAGACAAAAAGATAAGGAACCATCGTTTATAAATCCGTAATTAGGCCCTCTTTTACAGCCCATATATTCATATTTGACCTTTATTTTATTTGGCTTTTACACTAATTTATTTATTAATTATACAGTTTGGTATAAAGAGGTCGCAAGTAGATTTTGGGTGCATTCTGGGCCCAAATTGATGGAAGGTTAGAGCTTTGCAGCAGTCAGCATGCCCAGACCCAGTAATAAGCACGGCCGTGCTCACTTGCGGGAAGCCCAATTATGAAGAGTTTTTAGAGTTTCCAAACCCTATTAAAAGAGAGACCTCAGGCATCGTAAAGAGACTGTTTTTGAGACAGTTTTTACACCTTGGCTTTTGGCTCTTTCACCTCATTTCTCTTCTAGGGGGATCTTTGGCATATTCTTGGCGAGACTTGGAACTTCGAGCACCTGTACTTGAAGACTGGGAACTCATCTCATTCTAGTTTGCTTTTCTCTATGGCTTTGTTTATGATTGTTTTAGTTATTTTCTTTAGCATGAGTAACTAAGTCCATAGTTAGGGCTATGGAAACTATCGTTCATGAATTTATGAGATTTTGATGTTTGAATCTAAATTTGATTTATGTTTTGTGATTAGATTTTATCCTATTGCACTTATTTCTTAATCCTAAATTAATTATATTGTCAGGGACCATACCTCGGTTAATTAATAGATCTATAGGGTAAAACGAGACAAAGGATTAGGTGGACCAAACCAATCTTTGTCTTCTAATCGTTATTAAATTAACAAGTTCATAGGCTTCTTAAGCTTTCTTAAATTGATGTCTTGCATGACCATTGGGGATGTTAATTTAGAGAAAAGAATATTAATATTGCATGACCATTGGGTATTAATAGTATTCATATGAATGATTGGTAATCACAAGAAAATTGGATTTAGAGTTAAACAGAAAAATAACATAAAGGATTGAATGAGAAAACACATACGCCCTAGGTTCTTCTTTGATAAGTTTAACCAAGACGTGCATTGTATTCCTTACTCTTAGTTTTATAATTGATTTTATAAATTCTTGTTTTAATTAATCTCGTATATTTGAAGCTCAAACAACTGAATTAGGAAATTCTTAGTAATTGAAAAATAATCCTTGTGGGACGATATTTCGAGAACTTAATTTAAGAACCCTTTATTACTTCTCAATGGGTACACTTGCCCTCCGAACAATATTCTTCTTCTCAAATTCAATTGGAGAAACCTTTGTTCAAACCTTTCAAAGTTAATGCCAAAGTCAAACAAAATATCTTCGAGCTTAGGCAAAATAGTAAGCCCAAACATCCTGAAAAATCTTAGAGCTTGGGCGAACTCTAGGTCGCTTGAGCGAGGTGTGGGGCACCTGAGTGAGGACGTCGAGCTACAGAACCTGCATTTTGCTGCATTCTCGCTCAAACAACATAACCATCGCTTGATCGAGAGTCTCGCCTGAGCTGTCACGACCCCTTTTTATAAGAAATCGAGAACATTATTTCTACACCACTTACTTATTTAAGATAGAAAAATAATGGAGAATATAAGCATAAAATTCACTTCTCATTCAAAATAAAACAAAGTTTCTTACAACAAATATCCAATAGAACAACATAATATAACATTTAGTTTATAATATTCAAAATACACAAAATTATACTACATAGCTCCCTCTATATGAGGTCTCAAAATATAAGGAAATAGGACTTTAATGCAAAATTACTCAACTTCAGCTTCTAACATTTCTCCACTGGCCCCTCAGCCTATGAAGTAGATGCAACACTTGCTACATCTGCTCATATACCACTATACGATCATTGCAGTACACATGCATACAACAGCATAAACAGAAATGCAAGGGTGAGCTTACAAAAATAAAATAAAATCATATATATAAAGCAAAATATTTACTCACCGTAACAACCCCATGCATTCCCAGCCCATCTAATGCACAACATGAAAATGGTTTCCAACTGGTTTTACAGTCTAAGTAATCCAGAAGGAACCGAGTCGGTCCGGAAGCAACTCATTCTGGTATCTCGATCCAAACAGCACAACACAACTCAGCATGCTCTATCGTTACACGTCTATCCACCTAAATGTGTAACTCAACTTTATAATGATGCAAGACATATATCTCAGCATGATGCAGCACTGCTAAAATCATTTCAACAACTCAGCTAAGACAAGTCTATAATAAATCAGTCATATCTCAGTGTTATTAAATCAGTTATCAGTAGTTACAACATAGAAAAACAAGTTTCAAGTATTAAATCCTTTATATCTCAGCTGTTATCAAAGAGATCTAACAAAACAAACTCAAACCTTTCTTTAATAGTATATCAAGTCGTTCAACAATTAACATGCTTCCTTTTAATATATAATTACTGAAATGACAATTGAATTGTTGGTTTACGTTGTTGAAAAGTTTGAGTAAACGAATTAGTAAAGTAGTGCACATACTGATTGAAAGGCGA